CCCCCCCGGGTTTTGGGGCGGGGTGGGTGTGGCGGGGGGGTGGGGCGCGGGAGAGGGAGAGGGAGAGGGAGAGGGAGAGGGAGAGATCAGGCTGGCATAGATTGAGGTTGGTGCAAGATAAAGTTAGTATACATGTCTCTACATATACTGATAAATTAATGAATCTCTAAATTATATGACCCTCATATTTTGTTTGAAATATGACTAATGTATATTTAATTGCACATGTAATTTGTATGCCAAATAAGTAACCCTACAGTATTGATCCTAGACATGAGGTATACACATTTGATTTTTACACTTTTCCATCTGGCTACAGCTTTATACATAAGCAAATTTCAAGAGCTAAAATATCAATGTGGAAATTCCTCAATTGGTGTGAGCAGCTCTGACAGGGTGGTATGGCTGATGCTGGAATAGAGGCTGAGGCCTTTGTCATTCATACAAGGGAGAGTCTTACTATATACTGAGCACACATTAGAACATCAGGGGTCATCTTGTTACAATTTAACTTGAATAAATATTCTAATTATTTTATTGTTTTTTACATTGGTGTGTGTATGCACATGTAGATGCATCCATGTCATAAAATCCAGGTAGATATCAGAGAATAATGTGCGGAGGCTAGTTCTGTCCTACCATGTGAGTTTCAAGGACTAGCCCTAGGTCAGGCAGCAAGTGCATTTATGTGATGCTTCACGGTTCTGGCCCTTGAACAAAGCTTTTAGATGTGTAGAGTCTTAGATGGAGAAAATGGGATTGAGTTAAATATATAAAAACATATAAAATTGATACTGCCAGAAACCAGATTAGTAAGTTATTAATAGCTCTGTTTCCTGTATATTATTTCCAAAGGTTAGTGACATTTAGCTGATTTTCCTGCTAAGACGACGTCAGTAGCCTAAATTGTATGTTTCCAGAACTGTAAGTTTGTCTTTTTAATGTAGACATTTCACAAAATGAAGCAGAATTCTCAGACTAAGACAATGAAGAACACTGAAGGGCTTGAGACTATGGCTTTACTCATAAAATATCTTAGAGGATATTCTTCTAAAATATATAGTCATTGAACAATGGCTGCTTCCAACAGTATTTTTCAGATTCATAATGCATGTTTATTGTCTGTGAAACCAACTTGAATTTCATTTTATTTCCTCTCTCTATCCCTGGGCCAAGGGAATACTAAAATATGAGTTAGGGTACTGAAATACAATAGAAATAAAAGAAATTGTAAATGTGTGCTGGTAGGTTGGTAACTAATATAATATTTTTTTTTTGGAGGGAACGATGCCTGTCATCAAATCTCATGAAGGTAATTCATTTGCTGTTAAAACGATGTCATGCCTAGAAGGTCAAAGGCATTAATTATATTCTATATACTAATTCTTTGTGATCTAAAAAGCAAAAATTGTTGCAGTGACATTGGAAGTATGTCTTCTTATATATTATGTACTTCTCAGTGATCTAAAAAGTAGGTGTGGCTGCAGTAGCATTAGAAGTATGTCCTGTTTTAATGATGGTTTGGGAGTGTTATCCCTGTGTTGTTTTTGTTATTTCCTTCTTCATTTTGGGCCATATTTACTTGTGACTACAGGGTCTTTTCAAGTAAAATCACATATGTGATCCTTTACAAACGTGAAAATGGTAAGAGATTTGGGAAAATCTATTCATTGGTTCTAGTTTCTGCTGATGAAATTGTGTTGGTTGAATTGGAGCGTGGAAGAGATTCAGTTGTCTTCAGACAGTATGATTTCTAATTCCTCAGTTTTACAAAACACATTTTTTTTTTTTGTATTCTCTTCATGGTTTGTGATTTTTTTTACATGGTTCACAGGCACAATTAAAAGTACTAAACTGCCATACAGGAACAGTGAGTTTCTACATGAAAATGCACATGTTATAATGACAGGCATATGGCTAGGAAATCAGGAATAATCAATTAAGAAAATCACTCTGTGTATATGCAACCATAGCATTTAAATTATGCAAAGAGGCAAGTTGCCCAACAAAACAAAGACGTCACAGTAAAATGCTTTTTTTTCTAACTTGGCAGCCTTACAAAATCACACACATTCCATTTTGTTCTGATTTAATAGTTTAAGTACCCCAAGTAGAAGAATTCCATTGTCTCAGGGGGAAAAAAAGCAAGCAGTAAATTCCATAATAACTATTTACTGTGCTGTAGAATTGAAATCCATTTCGATTCTGCTAGGGATAGCTCTCTGAGATTTCTCACTGGTTGATTTTATTAGTATAATACAAAGGCCAAACATGGTTCTTATTTGAAATGTAAAATGTCATCCCCAGTGAAATGTATTTTTTTATTTAAGGATAATGCAAGAGATCACTGTCACCTGGATTGATGATTGCTACCCCTTGACTTACTAGAATGGAAGTCCTGAAATGTGACCAGAGATGGTGGTGGTTATAGTAATGGATTCCAGAGTTTTGGAATTATGTATAGGTGTGATCATAGAGAGTCTACAAAATAATATAAATAGTGAAATAATACCATGTTAGAGGCTAGCTAGCCTTTTGTCCTGTGGTATTATTATGTTATTATATTTTAGCACTGTCTACTCAATGATTAGATCGTTCTCTATGAGAAGCAATGATTTGTCAGTGGCTACATTCTTAGAGGGAGTTGTCCACACAAAAGTCTATGCTGTCAATATTTTAGGAACCCTAGAGCTAATCCATACATCTCAAGCTCTGTAATTACTTGTTTTCTGAAGAAATTTCTAGGTAAGTTTATCGTACATAATCAATTAATGGTCTGATACATATAGGATGGAGTCTTACAAGGTCATGTTCTCTGGTAAAATTACAGCTATAATTTGAGAAAGTGAACTCTGGTGTTTAAACAGTGAAAAATCTATGCCATTGCTGAAAACATCAGGCTGAATCCATGACATTATGTACTGCTTGTCTGTGCATTGTTTCTTTCATGTGGGCAGTGGCGTAAGTTTTGTGAAGCTTAACTGTACATAGGAAAATGGAACTTGGCAGACAGGTAGGAGATCAAAAGCCTCAGATGTCTGTGTGTGTTGTGGTGTTGTTTGGGTAAGGATGTGGTGAGAAGAAGATGAGGGATGGGTTCCAGCAATTGAAGGCTGGAGAGCATTTTTGCAAGAGGTTCCAAGTATGGAAAGCCGTGTTATAACATCTTGCCCTCAGGCCATGCTTCCATATATATCAGAATATCAGGGTGCATAGCAAAACTTCAAGGACAGAATCCCTTTTGTCTAATGGAATATTGTTCCATTATACAATAGAACTAACACAATTGATAGCAAGCATCTGAACCACCATTGGGCCCAGAAAGAGTAGTCTGATCAGAAGATAGGAATATTTTCTAGAAAAAGAGAATTTCGCCTTTTACACATAAGAGATTGCTCCACAATGTGGAACCTGTACCAATGGGATTAGAACGATATAAGATATGATAGTCCTATTCTCAATGTCCAGAGTTTGTTTTGAAAAGTAACACATAGCTGCTGTCAACACATAAAACTGACAGAATAAAACAGGAGGATTTGGTTTGTTGTGTTTCTGGTTTTTCTTCTGGGTTTCCTAGTTTGCTATCTGGTTCTATAATAAATAGCAGGGCCAAAAGCAACTGGGA